AATAATGCCGCACACACAATAAAACCATTGTATTTGGCACCAATGCGTCTCCCGAGTACATTCTTCATGACTAAACCAGAGTCATTTTTAAATCACATGTACACGTACACTGCATGTGTTACGACGATTATCTGAGTACAGGAGCACTAATGAACGATCAGCGGAATGGAACTCTGCCCACCCGGGTGCAAAAGGGAATATGCACGAAAAAGAGAGAGTTCCAAATGAAGTTCCAGCACGAGCTTAATACTGTGCAACGCTGCTGTCGTCTCAAAGACGGACGGAGCAGGAAGGTGTGATTTTATGTTGGTTGGGAGGAGCTTATTGGGAAATATGAATTGAATTTTTCTTTTTTCTGTTACCTAACTTGTTCCGATGCGACGTGGGCATACGCCCACCGTTTTTGCAAAAGATGCAACACAACATTTAAAACTGACGAGCCATAATTGGTCAGTTAGAGAAGATGAACTTCAAATCCTACAGTTACTTTGAGACTTGTACCACACTTTGTTTAAGCTGGCCAAAATTTGTTACAGCACGAGGTTGGAGGTGGCAATTTTATTTTCTTGTAAAATTTCCAAGAAGCTAGACTTTCTAGTAGGGGATGACGTGAACAGAAGCGCCCCATCGACCTCTGGTACCAACCATGGTCAGTTTATGTAATCTGAATTTTGAATATCCTCCCCTTCCTAGAGTGTCTAGATTCTATCTCAGGAAATCAGGCTGGGGCCTGATCCAGCTACAATGAATTTTTAACATCGCAGCTTTTGTCATTTTGCAATTTTTTATTTAAGGCCCATGTAAAACACAAGTTGTAGTGCACCAGTGCACACCGTAAAGAAACTGACTTACGAATTCTTACTCTGCACTCATCTAATGCTAAATTTATTAAAATCAGAAGAACAGTTTAGGGAATTAAACATACACATACAGACATACGCACCTCCCCATTACATATTAATTTTAAGCACTTCATGCAACAAATGTTGAATGCTGTATTTGCAGACAGAATACAATATTTGTACCTTTGAATTACTTTCAGTGACAGCCACAAAAATTACTGCAATTCTTATATGCGTCCCATGCCTGATACATAGCATCTACTGACAACTCAGCTCTGTTACAGGCTCGTGGGTTACACGTGCCATCACAAGCCCACTCACAAGAAATATTATCGCCCGTGATCCTCAGAGGGTTTGCACCGGCTAACCAAATGCCCAAGGAAACGTCCTCTCCTTGGAAATCCTGGTAGAGAAAATTGAATGCTCTGTTTCCCAGGAACTGAACTACACCCTGGCTGAGCACATAACCTGCACCGCAAGGAAATGGAGGATATGTCGCGGATCGATAGTTATCCTCGCGCCACTTTCCAAAGGAATGGACGGGCCAACCTTCGCGAAATGAACTCCACCAGTCGAGAGAGAATTCGGTCGCTGGTCGAGTCAAGGCCTTCTTTGACTGAATTGTCCTGACAGTCTTCAGAGTCTTCATAACCTCACCAATGTTAATGAAGGTGTCATCATCCGTCTTCAGCAAATATGAGGACTCAGCATTAAAATGTGCCCTAAGAAATACAGACAGTAAAAATTATTATTCAATATTGGAAAGACGTGGGCATGCGATTGCATTTTTCATAAAGCTTTCTCTACTAACGGAATGACAGAAAGTCTGTTCCTAAACTGATCTGGATTAGAACAGGTCAGATTATAATAAGCTAAGTAACTAACTTCACGGAGCAGAGTCCTTCTGGAAAAGCTAATCAAGAAATTCCCCTCTTCATTGGAATCTCATGATGAGACATGAACATGCAATTAGTTTTCCCTTCATTAACGAGCTACATTAGAAGAAATAAGTTGTTTCATAGTTGAATATAGAAACCTAATTCCTGTTCTTCATAGTATGAAGTGAGGAGTTACAACTTTTCTAGTCACAGTGGTCACAGTGGGCCTCGACTACTCAGACACCGAGACCACGGGTTTGAATCCCACTCAATGCACGGATATTCATCCTTATCTTTCTGTGATACGCTGCCTTGTATATTCAGAGGCCTTGCAACAGGCTGATCACCAAATGTCTAAATATCTTAATAAACTCAATAAAATCTTTTTGGGCAATCAGCCGCATCAACCATCTCTGTTCCCATCATAAGGGTTCTGATGATGGGGGCAGATGCCCAAGAAGTTTTTATTAAGTTTGGCTGGTGCGAAATTTTCAAATCAGATCAATATAGAAACCTCCAATATATGAGAGAGCCAAGGTCCTTAAAGCCAGAAAGAAGTTAAAACTTGTAAGTGTTAATTGGTGTAAAATTTTACATTCCGAAGGCTACAGGCTACATTTTGTATCAGAAATATTTTTTATTATCTTAGTAAAATTTCCTAATATTGGAAATTATAATTATTATAAGGAAACTATACCAAAATGTATGAATCTACAAAGGCATTTGTCACATAATCAAAAAATGATGGACAGACAAGCACAGAAAAAGTAACAGACTTGCATACAGTTATGAAATGAGTCTGATTATTAGAATAGAAAAAGAAAACCTTATTTCACCTTATTAATTGCCATAAATGCTTCTGTTAA